CCAACAGATTCAGGCAAGAAAAGTAGCTGGAATGGTGTGAATCCTTCAACCACCCTTACAGAGTTATGGGAACAGGTCAGGGGAGCTACCAGCCACTCAAACCCGAAGTGCACACATCACAACCCTCAATCAGACTGGTCCACGAGTTCTCTGCAAGAACTAGCAGTAACAGTCTGCCAGCCGAACTGAGGGCAAACCAAGAAGGCCTACAACCAGGCAGACTTTCTCATATCAGAGAAAGGGAAGCCGAACCCTATAACTCAGATGTTATCTTTTCTCTGAGGGAACTAAGAAAAACCTACAAAAACAGTTCTCGCTCAACCCTGGGTTCTGATGGGATTTCATACCCCATTATTTTCCAGCAAGGACTGGCAGGTGAGCTTGCACTCTTGCAATTCATTAACAATTCCTGGGAAACTTCCACACTAACCCAGAGCTAGAAGGGGCTACCATAGTTCCTCTCCCAAAACCAAAGGAGCCAGGGAAGTACCACCCCATCTCTCTCCTCAGCTGTCTGGCCACGACGCCGAGAGGATTGTACTGTAAGGAACCCTTATTCTGCAACCCTTCCCGCGAGCATCCTACAATGTCTCTCACTCCCGCGGATTTATCGCTCGGAGTCGCGTCCTCGTTCGTGCGCGGTTCTATATCTTTGTCGTCTTTTTTTGTGTGTGTTTTGTCTGTCTTGTTTTTGTTGCTTTTGTTTTACTCTGCATGATGGTCGCTCTCTTTGTTTCTTTATACATACTTTCGTTTTACTGTGTTGTCTTTTACCAGTTCTTATTGATCATTTATATTGAGTTCTTAGTCACCATTTTAAGCTATTTCTCTTTAACCTTTTTATGATAAGTTAATTAGTTTGCTTGCTGACTCATCATGGAGGGAAGGTACGATATCTTTTCAAATGACGTATCTATGGTCAAATAGTCAGTCTATAGCAGTCAGTGTGTATTATTGACCCTTTTTTGACCCGAGAACACCGGATACCATAGCTACAGCTACATAAAAATATCAGTCTTGAGAGCCTGATATTTCTATTTTACTGGGAGCTGGACGCGATCTCTATTTCTATAAGAAAATATGTACATTTAGTGATGCCTTGCTATTTTCTTTCAACGGTTTTACTTTATTATTTACTATTTTATTATTTTTTATTCACTGTCCCCTCAGGACTTTTATTGTTGTGCTTGCTTTTATTTTTCTGTGCTTTGGTTTGCTCTTAGCCTTTGCCATTATTTTTTCCTTTCCTTCGAGATGCACCTTCAGTGCTTCTGTGTCGCTGTGCTTTAGAAACTTTTTTTTATTAGTTAAAGGTCTTTTGCCTAAGGACCATCTACGACTCCTCTCTTTGTTAGCAGTTAACGTAAGCCTTTAGCTTAGCACTTCATTTTGAAATTGCTTTTATTTGTTTACGGCAGTTTAAAATTAACTATTTCTTTATTGTCTTACCTGGATTTATATATTATTTTTCATGTGTCCTTATTCAGTGTTTACTATGAATGAACATTAAGGAGATACACACTGGAACTTGCCCTCAAGTAGATCTCACGCAGTCCCCCCCCCCCACGCTACCACACCTCAAGGGGATCTGTACATGAGGGGATATTTGAGGTATAGGCTTGTGCCCCGTACTAGCACAGAGGAAGGAGTTAATAGTATGGGACCCCTGGCCACAAACTCAGTTGATACACCACAGTACTAAACCGACTCCAATGGAAAATGGGATCCCCACATACACACCTCCATGGGTTCACAAGGGGCATGAGCACAGCGCACAACATAACCACACTCTTAAGCACAATTGGCACTGGCACATATGTGGTAGTATTCCTAGACCTGGAGAAGGCTTTTGCATTAGCAAGTCCCCTTGCCATTCAGGAGACCATGATCCAGAAAGGAATCAGAGGAAAGCTCTTGACTTGGAGAGGTCACCTATGACAGCACATGCCACTAGAAAATGTAACGCCACAGGTTGGATTTTTTCAATCCAGCCCTATTCAATACCCTAATGTCCTGTATCCTCAACATACACCTCCCAGTGGGATGCAAGATCATCTAAGCAGACGAACTTGCAATCACCTCCACTGGACCACACTGCCTAAGTAAAGCCCAGCATTGTCTGGACCTTGTACTTGAGGATTGATGTAGGATAGAACTAAAAATCTCTGCAGCCAAATCAAAAGCCATGGCTCTGAGACACATTGTTTGAGGCACAAGTCTGAAAATCCAGGAAATGGACTTGGAGTGGGTCCAGGACTTCCAATACCTTGGGGTAAGGATTGACTGGATCCTCTCCTTCCAAAAGGAGGTCTAGTACCTGGTTGACCTAATCAAAACAAGACCGTCTGTCATGAGAGCAATGGCTGGGAAATACATAGGAGCCAGACACAGAGGCAAAGCCAGAGGCAAATCTCCCCCTGGACTCACGAATTGATCTAATGGCAGGACAATTCCTGTCAAAGGAATTGTGTGATGTATTTCCGTTCCTCGCCATCGTTGTTGAAGAACACTAGTGTGGAATTCATGTCGAACAAATTGCAAGTAGAACCATGAACGGAAGTACAAGAAAACACATTGACATTGTCATGCTCCAGGATACATTAACAATGGAGACTGTTTGCTTCTCAGGGTATCATGTCTTCATGCTGCCATGCACAGCTGGCAAAAGAGGCTTGATCACCCTGGTTAGAGCAACAATCCCCTGCTCTGTGGAGATGTTGAATCTCTTGCTGTTGAGATTCACCTGGCCGGAGGCCCCCTCAAACTGTACAATGTGTACAGCAGGCCATTCTGCAGGAGCTTAGACATCAGCCAGGTCTGTGCTACTGCAGTATAAGACCGAGTGAAAATAGGGGGAGACTTCAATGCACACCACCCTGGCCTGGTTCCCTGCAGGATGTGGCTAGCTATCACATAGCCAATGCATGTCAGAGGAGGGGTCCTAGACCTCACCTCACCTCACCACTGCTGCTACTGGGTCTCTGTGGGATCCCCTCTGGGATTAATACAGATACCGAGAGTGCTGTCAAGTGTAGGGAGGGCATCTCCGCCTTTTTCCCGGTGTCTGCTGACGTGAGACAGGGATGTGTCCTGGCCCCAACCCTTCTCAATATTTGAATCAGACGGTGTGCCGATGAGACTGTCATAAGTGACCATTATGGCACTATAACTACCCTAAAGGATGCTGGCCCAGCCGAAATGCCACAACCGAATCCAAGATGGAAAACAGACAAGGCCAACTGGCAGGCGTTTCAGAACGCACTGTATGAGATGCAATGTGGAAGTGCTTGAAGCCAGACTTATCAATAGCATAAATCAAGCAGCCTCCCAAACAATACCTAAAACTTGGCCTTGGTCCAAGAGTCACAAAGACGCCTGGTACTTTAATGACGAGATTAAGGAGCTCACCCACAGAGTGAACATGTACAGAAAACAATTCCGAAGGCAAAGAACCCTCACAACCTAGCCTTCCTAAGGGAAGCTGTCAGGGATGCCAAGGAAACTCCCAACAGATTCAGGCAAGAAAAGTAGCTGGAATGGTGTGAATCCTTCAACCACCCTTACAGAGTTATGGGAACAGGTCAGGGGAGCTACCAGCCACTCAAACCCGAAGTGCACACATCACAACCCTCAATCAGACTGGTCCACGAGTTCTCTGCAAGAACTAGCAGTAACAGTCTGCCAGCCGAACTGAGGGCAAACCAAGAAGGCCTACAACCAGGCAGACTTTCTCATATCAGAGAAAGGGAAGCCGAACCCTATAACTCAGATGTTATCTTTTCTCTGAGGGAACTAAGAAAAACCTACAAAAACAGTTCTCGCTCAACCCTGGGTTCTGATGGGATTTCATACCCCATTATTTTCCAGCAAGGACTGGCAGGTGAGCTTGCACTCTTGCAATTCATTAACAATTCCTGGGAAACTTCCACACTAACCCAGAGCTAGAAGGGGCTACCATAGTTCCTCTCCCAAAACCAAAGGAGCCAGGGAAGTACCACCCCATCTCTCTCCTCAGCTGTCTGGCCACGACGCCGAGAGGATTGTACTGTAAGGAACCCTTATTCTGCAACCCTTCCCGCGAGCATCCTACAATGTCTCTCACTCCCGCGGATTTATCGCTCGGAGTCGCGTCCTCGTTCGTGCGCGGTTCTATATCTTTGTCGTCTTTTTTTGTGTGTGTTTTGTCTGTCTTGTTTTTGTTGCTTTTGTTTTACTCTGCATGATGGTCGCTCTCTTTGTTTCTTTATACATACTTTCGTTTTACTGTGTTGTCTTTTACCAGTTCTTATTGATCATTTATATTGAGTTCTTAGTCACCATTTTAAGCTATTTCTCTTTAACCTTTTTATGATAAGTTAATTAGTTTGCTTGCTGACTCATCATGGAGGGAAGGTACGATATCTTTTCAAATGACGTATCTATGGTCAAATAGTCAGTCTATAGCAGTCAGTGTGTATTATTGACCCTTTTTTGACCCGAGAACACCGGATACCATAGCTACAGCTACATAAAAATATCAGTCTTGAGAGCCTGATATTTCTATTTTACTGGGAGCTGGACGCGATCTCTATTTCTATAAGAAAATATGTACATTTAGTGATGCCTTGCTATTTTCTTTCAACGGTTTTACTTTATTATTTACTATTTTATTATTTTTTATTCACTGTCCCCTCAGGACTTTTATTGTTGTGCTTGCTTTTATTTTTCTGTGCTTTGGTTTGCTCTTAGCCTTTGCCATTATTTTTTCCTTTCCTTCGAGATGCACCTTCAGTGCTTCTGTGTCGCTGTGCTTTAGAAACTTTTTTTTATTAGTTAAAGGTCTTTTGCCTAAGGACCATCTACGACTCCTCTCTTTGTTAGCAGTTAACGTAAGCCTTTAGCTTAGCACTTCATTTTGAAATTGCTTTTATTTGTTTACGGCAGTTTAAAATTAACTATTTCTTTATTGTCTTACCTGGATTTATATATTATTTTTCATGTGTCCTTATTCAGTGTTTACTATGAATGAACATTAAGGAGATACACACTGGAACTTGCCCTCAAGTAGTTCTCATGCAGTCCCCCCCCCCCCCACGCTACCACACCTCAAGGGGATCTGTACATGAGGGGATATTTGAGGTATAGGCTTGTGCCCCGTACTAGCACAGAGGAAGGAGTTAATAGTATGGGACCCCTGGCCACAAACTCAGTTGATACACCACAGTACTAAACCGACTCCAATGGAAAATGGGATCCCCACATACACACCTCCATGGGTTCACAAGGGGCATGAGCACAGCGCACAACATAACCACACTCTTAAGCACAATTGGCACTGGCACATATGTGGTAGTATTCCTAGACCTGGAGAAGGCTTTTGCATTAGCAAGTCCCCTTGCCATTCAGGAGACCATGATCCAGAAAGGAATCAGAGGAAAGCTCTTGACTTGGAGAGGTCACCTATGACAGCACATGCCACTAGAAAATGTAACGCCACAGGTTGGATTTTTTCAATCCAGCCCTATTCAATACCCTAATGTCCTGTATCCTCAACATACACCTCCCAGTGGGATGCAAGATCATCTAAGCAGACGAACTTGCAATCACCTCCACTGGACCACACTGCCTAAGTAAAGCCCAGCATTGTCTGGACCTTGTACTTGAGGATTGATGTAGGATAGAACTAAAAATCTCTGCAGCCAAATCAAAAGCCATGGCTCTGAGACACATTGTTTGAGGCACAAGTCTGAAAATCCAGGAAATGGACTTGGAGTGGGTCCAGGACTTCCAATACCTTGGGGTAAGGATTGACTGGATCCTCTCCTTCCAAAAGGAGGTCTAGTACCTGGTTGACCTAATCAAAACAAGACCGTCTGTCATGAGAGCAATGGCTGGGAAATACATAGGAGCCAGACACAGAGGCAAAGCCAGAGGCAAATCTCCCCCTGGACTCACGAATTGATCTAATGGCAGGACAATTCCTGTCAAAGGCCATCTAGGCTCCCAGGAACACAAGCCTAAAACAAATAATACTCAGGCGCCTAGAGCAAGACCAAGAGCTCATTCCAAACAACTCCTGTCTGTCTCATACAGCCAGGGTTTTGATACGCTATCAGCTCAAAGAACAGCTACTTAACCGGGCTCCCCAAATAGGCATAGCCCGGGCGAGGCTCTGCTTCGCGAATCACAAAAAAAAAAAAAAAAAAAAAAAAAAAAAAAAAAAAAAAAAACAGCTACTTGCCAAGGGCATGGATTCCCCCCAACCTGAGAAGCCCTGCCGTGGGCACAAACCTTGATAGAGTTCTCTGTTATGAGTCTGTCAAGGAGAAAGAATCAATACTATTATCACCGGTTAGATTTGTATTAAGAACAGTTGCGATCTTCTTTTCCATATTTTTGATAATTGTTTGTTAGATCCCGAATCTCGTGACGTTCGGATAAGCAGGACTTTGACGCGACGAGATTGTTTTCCTTCGTGTGACATCGACCGCCTGCGAGGAGGAGAAGGAAAAGTCCTCAAAGCTTTTCGAGTGTAGTGTACATAAGATAATTTAATTGAATGTACATAATATCCAGGTGAAAACCCTGGCAAAAGTGATATGGACTACGATTCCCAATCAAACAAGAACACGAGAAAGCAGTGACTGAGGACGACCGACCTCCCAAACACCCAAGGAAAAACGAAAGTGGCAGGAACTTCACGAATCATAACCTGATAACAATTGAAGACACGCCAATATACGGGTAAGCAAACAGTAAAGTAGTTATGAGCAATTTATCTAGTGAATTTGAAACCTCAAATTTCATTAACCCAATAAGCCAGGGTACATTTCTTGTCTGCGTGGCAGCGTGGATTTAGCCTAAATTATATTCCTTGGCGTATTGACGTAATGAAATGGAAAAATCTCGGCGCATGCTTTTTTATCTTTAGTGCTTTTCCAAGCTTTTAAGTTGAACGCACTGCACTTATACAAAGTTGTTTGTTTTATACCTTTACAACACGCGTGCTCCCCCCCCCCCCTACACTGCTGTTTTTTTATCATTTTATTGTTTTTTATTGCACCTTCAATTCAGGAACACACTTTATTTTAAGAATTCTTATTATAAGAATCATGTTTGGCTAAAATTTAAGAATATTTTAAGAATCATGCTAAGGCTCAGATTTTGCCCAGCATACTTTTCCATTTTATCAAATACAGTACACAATTCTAATGTTAGATAACTTAGAAAAATTTTAAAGTTCTTCCATACCTGCATATGTAAGTAAGTAGCCACTATCTCAAAGTAGACATAGTTACAAATAGTGGTGCTATTGTCATCTCAAGTGTTTTTTTTTATTAGATTTAAATTTAGATTTTAAAGTAGTAAAATTAAGAATCATTTATTAACAAACATCTGAGGCTCAAAATCCCAAATTTTTAAGAATCATGAGGCTGGGGAAAAAATTTACGATTCTTATTATAAAGTGTGTGCTGCCATCAACAATCTACTTGGCTATAACTTGGCGTCATACTTTATGAAGATTTACTCTTATCAGGAATGTTGCCATACACTCAATGAGCTATTGGCGTACCTCCAGCTTGAGTTTTACGCAGAGTGCACCCTGGCCAGTAAGACTAACAAATTCACTAAACAAATAATTTAGTCTAATCTGACTTCCACTAATATATCAATGTGTGTTTTTCTACCATATTATTAGCACAGGAGGGTGTCTTACCATTCATCATTGAAGATTTGCTAAGAGTATTAGAGACAGGGAAGGTTATCTAAAAATTAACACCCCTAAACCTATTATAAGGACTGAGAGACTGAGAAGTAACTTGCAGATAGCCTCTATGATTAACCCAGCACCTCCTATTGAATTTACTGTGTGTCCTGAGGAATTCTATAAAGTTCTCATTTTTTCTAAGTAATCAGATATAACTATAGTATTGAGGATTGCATCCTTTGCACCTGAAGTCCATTTTGAGTAGAGAGCTTTCCCTAACCACTATACATACCTGTCACACACATGGTGACATGTGATTGGTTTCTGGTATTTCCTTTAATACTATTGGCTTTTGTGATATATGTCACACACATATATGGTGTACAATAAAAGTTTCAATAAGTTTTCTTCACAATTCTTTCAATAACATTCTTGTTTTATAAATGCAATTCTTTAGGCCCCTCTTGCCCGTAATATGGACCAAATGCATTGATTTGTGTAATGTAAGAAATTTATTAGTTGCTGTAAATACTCAAAATAATTACACAATTACTCTTGTATTGTCATATCCATGTGGGCATAAACAAATTCATGTAACTTTATATGGGCTTTATCTACATACAAAATTAGATTATTACAATAAATGTTAAAAAACAAAGAAATGGCATCATTGCTTTGTTTGCAAAAAGTAAGGAAGGATATTGGATGGCAATTTTTTAATTATCATTTTCATTTTAGCCTCTCTGACACGTGTCATAGAGTATATATTTATTCACTGTCATTTTCATAAATTATTTTCCTTATAAAAGATAACTAGTTGAAACTGGACTGTTACTGAAACAGACTTCACCCCCGGAGGAGATTGAAGAAAAAGTAAGAATAATAAGCCAGACGGGGAGCTTTGTGGCATGCTCACAATATATTGAAGTGCTTGTTTACTGTGCAGCCTGGATTGACCCAAGTGTGGATCACTTTATGAACTGAATGACCTTAAGTAAAAAAATTATCATTTAAACTGAACCATACTAGGTTAAGTCTCTTAGCGGTAGAAACAGGACCAATTTAGGAAGGGACCATTTTCCAGTTATCATAAAAGATAACCTCCAAAAAAATGGCAACCTAAAGAATAGAAATTGAAATTCATAGAAGATGGGTAGAGGAAATACCAAAGAGAACTAGAAAGTAAAGATATTGAAAGCCTAAAATCTTTCAAAGAATTAACTAACTTGTTAAAAAATACAATCAAAATATTTTAGTTTTTAAAATGACTATAGGATTAATATTAATTTGCAGATTAATATTGATTTGCAGATCAATAAAGCTAGAAGAGAAAAAAGGTACGGTTTAATTGCATGTATTGATTTTGAAAAAGCTTTTACAAACCATGAAACAATATTAATCGAAGTTGCAGAAATGGGAATTACAGGTTCACCACTTTATTAATCATTTTCTAGCAAAACAGAAAAAGTAAAAAACACAAGGGAAGGTATCACAATGATCCCCACTTAGCCTAACCTATATATATATATATATGTATATATATATAGAGAGATAGAGAGATAGAGAGATAGAGAGATAGAGAGATAGAGAGATAGAGAGATAGAGAGATAGAGAGATAGAGAGATAGAGAGATAGAGAGATAGAGAGATAGAGAGATAGAGAGAGAGAGAGAGAGAGAGAGAGAGAGAGAGAGAGAGAGAGAGAGAGAGAGAGAGAGAGAGAGAGAGGTAACACATGCCATCCACAAATTAATCTATGCAGATCACATTGATAACATCCAGGAAAGAAGATGTAACCAGTAAATTAATATAGTCTTAGAATTGACCAAGAAATGAGATTTAATAGACTTAAACTCATCAAAAAGCAAAATTATGTGTTTCACAATTTAGAAAATAAAACAGAATACTAAAAGTAGAAACAGACAGTAGAGAACTATTAATCTCAACAAATAACAGAATACTAGGACTGCTACTTGATGCATCAAAGCTGAGCTGGCAAAAACATAGGTATTTAGAAATAAATATTCTAAGCAGAATAGATATAATAAAGATATTGTTAACAAGAAGTTGGGGTACAAACAGAGAAACTGATAAAATTTTGCAAAATCAATAAAGCCACAAGGAGAAAGTGGGTTAATAATTTATAGTGTAAGTAATACTTAAACATAGCATCAATGAAAATAAGAATAATAAGTAAAAAAAATAATGTAAACAATTAATTAAAGAGCCTAGGTTAACAAAATGATAAGCCAATAAAACAATTGACAACTAAAGAAATATTTGAATGTAACCTCAGTAAAGATAGAAGATATTT